AAACACTGGGTTCTTCTTTGTGATTGTCGCCTAGTGGTAGAAGTGTCCGGTAAGGGAACAAGGACCTGGCCAGGGGGGCCTTTCCATCGGTTTCCATATGGAGATTCCACCTTCTAAAATTTGCAAAATATCCCCCCCTGCGATGGATGTATATCAAGAATTTCTACAGACACTCTTGGTAGGGATACAATTGAGAAGTGTGTTGACCACATTAGTATCCGAAATTGATACTAAAACCAGATCGTGAGGGTACATAAGCACAACTGTACAAATCTCACCTGCTGTTCATGCTGAAAATTGAAAATGTACATTTAAAAAAAAATTTAGGGCCGGCGCCGTGGCTCAATAGGCTAATCCTCCACCTTGCGGCGCCGGCACACCGGGTTCTAGTCCCGGTTGGGGCGCCGGATTCTGTCCCGGTTGCCCCTCTTCCAGGCCAGCTCTCTGCTATGGCCAGGGAGTGCAGTGGAGGATGGCCCAGGTGCTTGGGCCCTGCACCCCATGGGAGACCAGGAAAAGCACCTGGCTCCTGGCTCCTGCCAGGATCAGCGCGGTGCGCCGGCTGCAGCGGCGGCCATTGGAGGGTGAACCAACGGCAAAAGGAAGACCTTTCTCTCTCTCTGTCTCTCTCTCTCACTGTCTACTCTGCCTGTCAAAAAAAAAAAAAAAATTTATCTGCTTATGACCTTGTACCTGTTTTCTCTCTGGCAGAATGTTCCCTGGTTAGGATGCCACAGTACAGTTGTTCACCATGAAGGGTTCACAAGAACGTGGCTTCTCCAATCTTTCTTCCTTTGATTACATTTCGACATAAGGTATTGGGTAATATTCTATTCTGTGAAATTGATATTCAAATACGTTTACCTTGGGGGTTTTAAATGGTTGCAAAATACTGCTGATCTCAGAAACTGCTTAGTAATGCAAAGCACAGTCCCATGTGAAGGTTGCTTTTCTCCTGTAGGTGGCGACTGGTGGGCAGAACCTTGCTCATAATTTTCAGATAGTGATGATCGAACTAGAATCAAAACGTTGGTAACTTCCTGACATGCATTTCACAGTAGAAATACTCTGATTATTCAGTGAATGAGACAAACGTGTGGAAGATACTCAGCCTCATTCGTTGAAATCCCTGATAGCCTGGTTTTCGTTGTTGTTTTGTTTTTTCACGTGAGGAAAAAGCAGGGAGTGCACTTTAACGGCATTATTCTTAAGTTGACACAAGGTGAAAAGCCGCATTGCTGGCTGAAGGTGTCTGGAGAGAGAAGTGTTCAACAAAAATATTCCTGGTGCTGAAGAAAGGACACACAACTAAAATACTGGTCAGGCTAGTCTGCCACGTGCTCTGTGCATATTTTTAAAAACAGCTCCCTCCCTTTCTGTCATAGAATAATTTCTGTACACACTATCCTGTAGAGTTACGCAAATGTATTCGCATAGCAAGACCTGGCACAAACTTGTCTTTAGTTAGCTTATTTTTCATTAGCCTGAGACACTCAAAACTCTTTGCTTTCACAAACATCACCACATAAAAGAAACCTTAGGACGATCTTTTAACAGAAAGAACAAAACAGGAAGTTAGGTTGCCCAAAGAGGTGCATTAACATGAATCTGGCTTTCCTCAGTGTAGGACCAAAATTCCCCACACTGCATTCTACCTTAGAGCTGATTTTCTTTAAGTGGGGGCACAAAAGGTTCTGAGCAGGACTGTGACATTTCGTTGTTGCAAAGTTATCCGTACTGAGTGGGTCCCCAGAAGTCTCCTCCTTTCTGTCCAGAAAGCCCTCTGTGTCCCCACCAAGTGCTTTCAGACCATCTTATTTGGGGACTTTTGGTCCTCCAGCAGGCTATATTCTTACTATTGCAAAACTAAGTACCCTTCATTTTCATGATGCGACTCTAAAGTTATCCGAGATCAGAGCATCTGGTAAGCCTCAGATAATTTGAAAATGTTGTGTGGTTAATGATGTGTCAGAATACTTGAACTGTTCACCCGTGACATCTTGACTGAAAAGCCAGGGACTATTTTGACATGGTCAGGACTTACTGGGATTCTATACTATCCAGAAAACTGAAAATTGGCTAGGTTGATTTGACCCAAGTAGATTTTGGCTGCCCTCTTGACTTCCATAAATGTGTTGATATACTGTTATGCACCTTTAATGCTTTCAGGATGACTATGGTTCAAAAGCCTGGAGAAGAAAGAAAGGTAGCAAAAAGATACTTTGAAAGAGGATATTGAGTTCCACAGATGATCCTTTTTTCTGTGTGTGTGTGTGTGTTTTGTGAAGAAACTCAGACAACAAATACTTGTGGGAATGAGAAAGAACAAAAAAAGGATGGATGACTATTTTATGATTCAAGTGCTTTTTTACAGGTCTAGGTTATTTTTCTAATCAAAAATACTTGAGTTGTATCAGATGTATCTCTCTAGTGTCTCCTGAAATGAAAGGAGATATTGGAGTGATTTTGGGTGCAAACTGTACAGAATTTATTGAGTTTATGCTGCAATCCTTTTAGCCCTGTGCCCTGTGAGGATATCTCCAGTCTGTTTCCTTTAATCCATTCTTTTATTTACTGTCACACAGTCAGCTTTGCTACTAAATGTAGAGACAAGGAAGATGGAAAATGGCCAGATGCTAGAGAAAGCAGCCACATTCCCTGGGAATCTCTTAGCAGTGTTCTGGCATTGGGAGTATGTGGAGTGAAATGTTTTAGTAAAGCTATGTACACAAGATACTGCTAGAATGCACACTGTATAAACAGTATTGAATAGCTATAATTTTTTTTCAAGTTTACAGGAGCTCCCATTTGCTTCTGCAAAGGTGTTAAAGAATAAGTCATCTCAGTAATGTTGCTTTTAATCACGAGGATAGAAGAAAGATACGTGCATGTGAGTGGAAAGAACAGAGAGGCCATGGTGGAACACAGTAGTAGAACATGGGGATAATTAAAAATACATGCATTAAAATTTGACCTTTGGCTAATTGATGGAGGGCATAATTATAGCATTCTTTGCTATCAAGGCTTGGTTTATGCTAGCCTCTGAAAACTTTACTGAATAAATTAAACTCTGCATATGACAGTGTTTGGTGAAAGTTATGGAAACTCATTCATTAATTCTACTATTTCTTTTGAATGGAACACAGGATTACTGAGTGGCAAATTGGAAGACAAGTTTTGATGTAAGGAATCAGTTGCCTGCATAGTGTAGTACTTGATCTCAGGGACTCAACATGTTGCAATAAATTTGATTAATATATAAGTATACATAAAATACATAGTAGGACAATTACAGTTTGAATTTGATTCAAAAATTGGCACATTTAAGCTTGGAATTGAGAAAGTATTCTGATTTAGAGGAAAGTACCTGTTAAAGTTGAATATTACATGAAAGTTTTCCAGGAACATCTGTTTTTGCTGTTACAAAATGGCTCATTGATGACTTGAACCTTCTGCAGTCAGATCAGTGGCTGCTGAGAGTTGGCAGAAGGACTATGAAGGGACACGAGGGACTTTTGGGAGGACGATGGGCATTTTTGGTACCTTGCTTATGGTGATGATTTCACAGGTGTGCATGCAAACAAGCATGCTTCAGAAGATGCATGGAAAACGGAATTAAAAGCTAATCTTATTTTGGCCCAAACAATTTTGAAATCATATGTATGAGGTCCTTCAAAAAGCACATGGAAAGTACGTATTATGAAGAAACTATTCAACATTTTCTACACCGAAATAAATTTAGCTTTTAAATTCTATTTCCATGAACTTTTTGAAGTCAAAGCTTATCAAAGTGTGCACTTTTGGTATATGTGAAGTTTATATCATAAAGTATATGTGGTTTAATGTATATCAATTGTTTTTCTGAACCACATAGATATTGAATGTAGCATAAGTATTTAACAGTGGAAGTAAAAACTTGCATAGTAAGTGAACGATTTTAAGCCTAATCATTTCATACTCTAGCTGTTATTTACGGTATAAATGATTGTCTATTCTCATTTCACTTAACAATCATCTGCCCCAGAGGATTTGTTTCCTGAAATTTAAGAGAAAGTTGTTCATACAGGTCCTTTGCATGTTTATGTTACAGATGACCACTAGCATTCTATGGGATGTTATTTTTCTCAATCTGAAATCAATGCAGGGATAAATGGTCTCTCAGTGACAGACTCTGAGCTGCAGAGGTGAATAGCTTCTCCACTTTCTGAGTAAGATTAAGTCAGCAATAGTGGCGCTTCAAAGAGAGCTAGTAAGATTATTAGAGGAGGACAAAGAGTGCCTCACTGTGGGTTTTTAATAAAATCCAAGCTTAGAAAAATGTACTGCTCTTTTTAAAATGCCAAGGACCAGGGTTGATCTCAGAGACTCCTAGTAGTCCCATAACCTTAGCAAGAGTGAAAAATCCAGGCTTTAGTTTTTTAGAAAAATGAGATGCCAGACATATAGCGCAGTTACCAATTTTTAACAGCTATCTGCCCCCTGCATTTATTTCTTTTCAAGATGTATTTTTATTCCTCTGAGTTAAAAATCTCAAGCTATATAAAGCTTTGAGAGATCTAATGTTATCAAGCATATAAAATGAACTCATACCCAAGGTAAGCTATATTTATATAGCATCATAACATTGCTAGTTTGCTAAATTCACATTTTATTAGGATCTGCTTTGTTAAAACCTGTTTTCTGCCATCATTGTTCATGTCCATAGTCCCAAAGTTCACGTAAGCATACAATTTGTAAAACTGCCTTCTTCATTTAGTTTGACTATGCCAAATAAAGAATAATTATTAAAATAATAATTTTTAAATAAAGTTCCATTCATCAAAGTAATGTATGTTCTGAGTCCCGTAACTCACAAAGTCTCTGGAATGTCAAGCGGTATCTTTGATAAGAATTTCGGTGATGCTTTAATGTTTTCCTTGGAATAATGTATGAGATTAACTGCCTTCAAGGGACAAAGATGACTTCACAACACCAATGGCCACTTAAAAAAAGCCTTTTTCGAAAGGGTAATCCTGGAACAAAGTGCCTAATTTCCCATCTATTAAGAATTTGTATAGAAAAGAGCTATACCACATAAATACCAAATGTAGATAGGATGCCACCTGAATTTATTCAGAAGATCACCCAACTTCATGATCTAAAGCAATTAAGACATCAAAATATAAAAGAGGCAGCAATAGTCTGAGGTGAACATTAAAAAAAAAAGTTTAAACCTCCCAAGTACTTGAAAATAGTTACCTACAGTTGATATACATATATTTATACTTTTCCTCTGTAAAAGAGAGTTTTTAGTTAAATATAAAATGTATAAATGTAGTGTGCACTGATTCATAAGTTAAAGCTAAAAACAGCAAAGCTCAAAATTGTAAATCCAATTTTTTTTAAAGATTTATTTATTTGAAAGAGTTACAGAGAGGGAGGAGAGGGAGAGAGGGAGAGGAGGGAGGGAGGGAGGGAGGGGGAGAGAGAGAGAGAGAGAGGTCTTCTATCCACTAGTTCACTCCCCAGATGGCCGCAATGGCTGGAGCTGCGCTGATCTGAAGCCAGGAGCCAGGAGCTTCCTCTGGGTCTCCTATGTGGGTGCAGGGGTCCAGGGACCTGGGCCATCTTCCACTGCTTTCCCAGGCCATAGCAGAGAGCTGGATTGGAAGTGGAGCAGCCGGGTCTCGAACTGGCACCCATATGGGATGCCGGCGCTTCCGGCCAGGGTGTTAACCTACTGTGCCACAGCCAGTCCCTGTAAATCCAACTTTAAAAAATCTGCAAATTGCAAGAAGAATGCCTCACTGTCTCTGTGTCAGCTAAGGATTTTATT